CACTGTGCTTGCTTTGCCCCCTGCAAACCACCTCGCTCCCCTACTGTGGCTGACTGCAAAGCCCAAGGCAGCTCAGAGGTACGTAACAGATTACACAAGAGAAATAAAAGGGAAAGAAAGGAAGGAAAGCAGCAAGCAGGAAATCCAGCAAATCTCATTATCCAACAGAAACGCTCGTGTGACCAACGTCAGCTCAGCCCAGCTACAGCCACAGGTTGAAAGGAGAGGGAGGAGGAGGCTGCGCTGGCAGGGACCTCACGCACACCCCTCGCCTGCTCTCACCAGCCCTGCGAGGGGCAGCTTTCCCCTTTGTTGCACTGGGCTGCTCTGCAAAGCAAACCCTGCCTTTTGCTCACACCAAAAAGGCAGGTCCCCATGAGAAACACACAGAACAGGTTAGCAACATTGGAGTTATCCAGTGTAAAAGGGCTGGAGAATCCACGCCCCAGCAGTAACACTGGTGGCTCTCTGAAAGCTCTGCCTTGCCATGGGAAACACTGTCTGTGGAACGGACACTTTGAAAAAGCATTTCCAGGTTGTTGCAGGATGCTGTCAGATGGCACTGGCTTATTTGCAACCCAGCGATCCCTTGCAAAGGCTTATAAGGGCTAAGTACACAGAATGCCTCCTTCACCTCTCATGGAACAGCAGTAAGTGCTGTACAAAAGCTGATCTTCATTGTAATATACCCAGACAGCACAATCCCTTGCAACTAAGAAGAACAATAAATGAATGGCAAGCACACCCTACCCTAGGATAAACCAGCACAGCATCATCTATTTAGATTTCAAAAGGAATAATTGCACCTACCCTTGATTCTAAGTACCCGTGTGTAATGGAGCAGACAGCAAAGGCAATTAAATTAAACGTCAACAGCATTAAACATCAGTTCTTAACGCTGAACCTACCCCATCCATCAGCTAACAAACACCCTGAACTTCCTCCAGAGACCTCCACACCAGAGCTCTGCGAGCAGCTCATCCCTGCTCTGAACCAGGTGAACTCATCATCTGCAGTAACATCGTATGCACCCTATGCAGGAGCTGCCCTTCCATGCTTCAGAAGGGACCACAAATAATTCCTTCATAGATGCTAACTGGAAAAGAACGCAAATACCTGCACCATAAACCTCTGCTTTTTGGCATCACAAGTCAAAGGGCTGCTATCACCCCCTGCCTTTCTCATAGGATGAGGACTGGGTTGGTGCATTTAAAGGTGAGCAGCAAAGCACAGCATCCTTCTCACCTGTGCTTGGAGCAGTGGCATGTTCCCCCACAGCCTAAACAAATGAATCCCTTGATGCAAGAGAGGCAATGAGGGGAAGCCCAAAGTGGCTGCTTCCTCCAGAAAGTCGTATTTGTGAGGTCTATCTGAATAGCCACTGGATCACCACCTTGCAGAGAGCAGCTGAAACCTCCCCTGCCTGGCACCAGACTAGTGCTACCCCAAAGCCACAACCAGGAGATGCTGGAGGGGGAAAAACCACTTCCAAGCATGGGCTATGGCAAAGATTGCTCTGCTCAACAGATGCAGACCAGAACTGGGACAGCAGGAATGGCTTCAAACCCTCTTTGAGCCTCATCGCAAGTGCCTAGCTCCGCAGCAGCTCCATGCAGCGCACAGCTGCCTGTGCCAGTATTGCCACAGGGCCCTGCAGCAGGGGAATACCCGGCAGCGCGTTTCTCAGCATCTTCCACTCATACCCAACCTGATGCAGCTTTTGGATCAGGATTTGTCTCCCAGGTTTCCTCGGTGGCACAGAGCTAGCAGAATTATTGCTGAGCTGCTGCTGATCTCGGCAGCTCCAGGACAGCTGCTCCTGCACGCGCTGCCCAGACAGGCTCCCCTCCACCAAGCACTGCTGGGATTCAACTCCCGCTCCCTTCCCACCATATGGTCTCTCTTCTCTTCCCCTCCCTCCTTGCTCAAGCGCCTTTCCCGTGGAAGCTTGCAGGGAAACGCAGCCTCCATCCCTCCCTCCACTCCATAGGCACAGCTCTTTGTCTGGGGGCACGGGGTGTCTCCTTGGCTGCTGTCACTTAGAAGGGTCACATCAGCACTTGTGGTACTCAGAGCCAGAGAGCACCAAGCTGGTGCTGTCCAGGACAGTTTGCATCCGCAGCCCTCTCCCAAACAGGATTTGGACAGCACCAATGCTCCCATCTTTTAAGTTGGATGTTGCCCATTTCTGAGCGCTGTCTTCAGCACAGAGGCTGTGGAGGGATCACGCACATGGAGCGGACACACTGCAGTCATTCCCAGCCACTTTATTTCTCCTTCTGCATCGAAAGAGAAGGGGGAAGGGAGGCATCAGCGTATCTGCTAAATTAGGGCAAGTCATACAGCACTGGCTGATCTGGCAGTGGGGAAGCAGAGGAATACAATAAACCATGGGGAAAGCACAGTGCTATCCACAGAGAATCCCCAAACTCCTGAATTGTTCCTTTTTCCCCCAGGCTTACTGAAATTTCACATTCAGCCTCAGGTTTCTGTGGTCTCCAAGGAGAGGAGCTGTGTGCTCCCCAGCCCCTGCAGAGGCACAATTAGTGCAAAGATCAAGAGGGATCTGGTCTAAAGACAAGATTAAAGCACTTCCATGCAGCATCCCCACAGTCCCGCAGCCTGGGGGAGACCAACAGGTTGGGTTGGACTCAGGCACAAGGGGTGGATGAGACAGGATTACTGGGGATGCTCAGGCTGGCTGGCAGGCAGAGAGTGAGTGAATGTACGTGTGTGACAGCAGCTGAGGCGGCTAAAAGACACTGAAAGAACCAATTCCCCCATGTCCTTCCAGCCCGGAGTCTCCTAGGCCCTTATGCTCAAAATGGAAACGAAGATTCAATTTCCTCCTCGGAGCTCAGCCCCTTTCTTTCCTCTTTCCTAGCCGTCCCCAAACGCTGCCCATTTCCCCCCATTCAATTATTGCTGACAGAGCCCTTTAAATTACAATGCAGGATCTTGCACTGCCTAATCCACTTAACTCAACCCCAGCTGATTAAATTGGATGCCATATGGTGGGAGAGCACTGGTGTAATCCACAGGGACGGGGACACATTTGACTCATTACCTGGAGCGCAGCACAGAGCCCTCTGTGCCGGGGCCCTGCTTGCTGCAAGGGATGTGATTTGCAATACGCTGGTCTCCAGCAATGACGCTGGCTCTGGCAAAGGTGGTGGTGCCATTAAATACAGCCCCAAGCAGCTTAAAGGCACACATTGTCCTTCCTCTCTGGTGGCATCTGGCTGTTCCCTGTCCCCAGCTGGTGCAGCCAACACTCAGCCTCCCAAGGGCACTTTGGAAACAGGGGAAACTTAGTGCTTGGTAGAAGAAAATAGGTGGGAAAGTCTGTGGGGAAATGTGCCAATGTCTTGATCGCATTGATAGCTGTGACCCTCAGCCCAGGTCACTGTGCAATGTGGGGGATTAGAATTAAGAAGGTCACAGCCTAGAATAACAGCCTGCAACGAAGGCCACAGCTGGAGAGCACATGCGCCTGGTGAAAGGGAGATTCAGGGCACACTGAGCAGCTCTGGCTGGAGCACATCTGGGAGCCACCCCTCCCGCACCACTGGAGCCACACAGAACAGAACATGGGTGTCATCCCAGCTAATAACACAGAAGCGCTTCCAACAATACAGTGTTATCCATCAGGAAAGCCCCATCTCAAGCACTGACAGCACTAATAGCACTGCTCTCAGTGAACACTCACATCCAAGAGGTCAGTGTGAGCCTCAATTTGTGATGTGCCATTCGAAGTGTGAGAGATCAGTGATTTCCCAGGCTCAGAACACATCCCAAGCATCTTTCTTCTTGCCTTAGTGACCAAGTATCCCTCTTTCACAATCAACTGCATCACCAAAACAACCCCTAGAAGAAAGCATAGCTGCTCTTAGCCATGGCAGAGCCTTTACAAAACACAATTAGCTGCAAACTAGAGAGGAGCACTGGTGGGCTGAGAAAATACCAGAGCAGGAGACCGAGGTCCCCCACACACCGCAGAACCGCCTCTCCTTAAGCATCTAAAACTGCCTAATAACCATACCAGAGAGAGAAACACACACCAGGACCTGTTGCCTTACCTTTCTGGAGGTCAGATTTTCAGGCTACCTCTAAAAGAGAAAACTCACCTCTAAAAGAACCAGGAAAACAGAAACCCACATGCTCAGAGGCCAGGCTTTAAGACAACCAATTCCTGTGAAAGCAAAGGGATGTTATCAGAGCCAGCTGAGCCATCCCAGGCCCACAGACAGCATCGTCTGATGTGCTCAAGCTTTGGCCAAAGGACCCACAAGGTCCTGAGGCCTTCTCTTTACCCAGAAGGCAGCAAACCCAGTGTTTAAAGCCAACTACGTGGTCATCTCTTTTCCCCTGCACTTCTGCCAAAGTCCAGCTATTTCTGTAGCTTTAAAAGGGTGTCTAGAGGTGGCAGGGAGTGAATATGAAGTGGTTTGTCCTCACCCTGAAGCTGCCCCAAGGAAAGAGCCACAGACCCAGTCACTGAAGCACACAGCCAGTGCTGCCAGTCCTTAGGGCCACACATGGGTTTATTACTGGTATCAGTCTATTAGCAGTGATGGATGGGGGCTGATGGCAAAGGCAAGGCACTCCCTTCATTAGGGATAACAATACCATTTACAGAGCATCCCCAAGGCTCTCATTCTAATGGGTGCTGTTTCAGCCCTACAGGTTTTGGTGATAGGGAATGAAGGAGCTGAGCACCTCTCACAGCCAAGCCCCATGGGCCTGATCCTGGCTATGCAGTGTGCAGTCCAGCCAGCCAGGCACCAAATCATTGCATGGAGGATGTCCTGAGCTTGGCCTCCCCTTGCTCCTGCAGCCAAGAGAGATGGAAGAGGCCAGATCCTGTCTGTCTATAAGTGTGCATCTGTGTCAAAACTTGCCAATAACACCAATGTCGTGCAAAGCATTCCCATGTTTGATGTGGTGGCATGTGGGGAGCCACAGGAACTGCAGCAGCTTTGTCCCATCTTGCCTTTTAGACTTGCATTTGGCCGCAGAGCTGGGGAAGACCCTGCTGGAGCGCAACAAGGAGCTGGAGGACTCCCTGCAGCAGATGTATGCCACCAACGAGGAGCAAGTGCAGGAAATCGAGGTAGGGACACAGCTGGGACAGAGGTGGGGATGGAGCTGCTCAGTCACCACTGTCACCTAAGGGTGATGGTGGGGAAGGGGCTTTTCCACCAATGCAAACAGTTCAGGTGCCAATAGATAGGATGTGCCAAAGGGCATGGGAGTTAGAAGTATCTTCTCTATGTGCCTGAAGTGGGATTGATTAAGGTCTGGTCAAGCTCATCCCAGTCCTGGAGAGGGTTCCTTTCCCCTCCTAACAGGTACTTTCCCAATTCCCACATCCCCACCCTCTGCCCAGATGTGCACACCAGATTTTAGCACCAGGTTGCATCTGGGTCACATCTGGCCATTTTCTGCCCGTCCACCAGCCTCCACACTCCTTTCCCTTTGCTCTGCCGCAGCTTTCCCTTCACTCCAGTTATTCATAATCACATTTGTTCCCAGCTGGCCCCTGGGCACCCCCATAACACAGCCCTTTTGTTAGAGGCACAAAATAGCTCTTTCTGCAGGAGCTGCAATCTCAACCAGTGTTTCAAGCATCCTTTGAGGTCAGGGCAGTATTTCTAAGAGCCCACAGAAGTGATCTTAGAGGCTTAAACCTGCTGTGCCAAGAGGTTTTTCATTCACTGAAAAACTTCTAGGGATCTGCGAGTTAAAAAAGCTTGGAACCCCTCTGGTTTAAAAGGACACAGAGCAGAGTGAGTTCACAAGAGCAGCACATGGTGGCTCTTACAGATCTGAGAGCTGATGTCTGAGGACACTGGTGGATGGATTTAACCACCCCCTCCAGAAGCACGCTCACTGTAGGATTTGGGATCTGGTCCCAGCTGAGACTGATGCCCCAATCCCAGTCTTTGCAGGAGGAAAGCTTGCAGTGGCAGGCTCACAGCAAAGGCTCTGCACACACACGGGAGCCGCAGGACTCCTCATATTTCACAGACTCAGAGCTTTTACCTGAATTCCTAAGGAATTGCATCTCCTGCAATTGATCTGTCAGAAAATCCAGTAACCAACTGGTCCATTTCAGTGGAGAGTCATGGTCTCAGGGGTATCAACTTTCTGTGGGTACTGGGAATAAAAGAGCAGCTGAACAGAGATTGAGCCTAGTGCCCTTCACAGAGGGCAGTTCAATGGTATTTTAGACACAGAACTATTCACAGTGAGCAGGGGGTATGACTATTTCAACCACTCTGAGGACAAATCAGCCACAGAACACACTATCAAAGGGAACAAGGGCTGTAGGATTTTCTCCCCGTGAAACAACTTGGATGTGGGATGTGGAGTGTTTCTGTCTGTTTTTTTCCTGCAGTACCTGACCAAGCAACTGGAGACGTTGCGGCAGATGAATGAACAGCATGCAAAAGTCTATGAGCAGCTGGACCTGACAGCACGGGACCTGGAGCTAGCTAACCAGAAGCTTGTGCTGGAAAGCAAGACATCCCAACAGAAGATACAGTGGTACAGCCTCCCCTCTTCCCTCTGCAGCAATGCTGTGCCCAAAAGACCTTCATCTTCCCTTTCCCCTGCCCCAAAGAGCAGTGTGTCCCTGCTATTGAAGCCATTCTCTTATCAGTCAGGTTTTGTGGCTATTTACAACAGAAGCTTGTTGCACTGATGCTGGTTAGCAGAGGTCAACCACAGCACAGACGCCTTGGGACAAGGGCTGGATAAAGGAGTGTCTGAAGCTGCCAGGAGGGAGCCATGGCAGCCTCTCCTCGGATGTGTTTCCTTGAAGAAGAGGCACATAATGGTATTAGGGAGGTCCCCAGCACACAGCCCAGCAGCAACACCAGGCACAGATCCAGCATCTAATGTAACGCTGGCTAGTCCATGCTGAAACACCAGTTTATCAATAGTACTTCTTTCCTAAAACAAGCCCATGATCAAGGTCATCCCTGGAAACAACAGACTAAGCCATGTCCTTGCAATGCAGCGTCTTTTGCAGACAACTGTGCTGAGAGGGAGTTTTACAAACTCCATTCAGAGCCAGAACACAACTGAATCTCTGCCTGGTCTCTCTGTGTTTATCTCTACATGATACACAAGAGGAAGAGAGTAAATAGCTCACCTGCTTGCTTTTCGTGCAGGGATATTCCGGGGTAGTGCTTATGTCCCAGAGGTGACTGGTTTAGCCATCTGGTTTGAGGACAGAGGGTTTCAAGTTAACACAATCTCTTGCCACTGTTTTAATCCCTCCTCTCTCCACAGCTTGACAGAAACAATCGAGGGGCTGCAGAACCAAGTGGAGGAGCTGCAGAAGCAGGTGGAGGAGATGAGGAGCCTGGAGCAGCTCCGCATCCGGCGGGAGAAGAGGGAGCGGCGCCGAACCATCCACACCTTCCCCTGCCTTAAGGAGCTGTGCTCCAGCCCCAGGTATGGAGCCCTGCCTGTAGCAACCCCACCAACCTTCTTCCCCACCTCCTCTGCCTGTGAAGAAGGGATGTGGTGGGTTAGACCCTCTGGGGGTGCACAAAACCCCACATACACAGAACCAGCATCTCTGGCTCACTGGAACCAGTTGAGATGCTGCATTTCGTCCTATACGACTTCAGTACTCCCCCACCAGGAGCACCAGCCACACACCAAGATACACCACACGCTGCCAAGTGCTGTACAAGCACTGTCAGCACTATTGCACACTTGATCCTCCTTAAAACCCAGGCACTGTACATTCACTGACCTCGTGAGGGCATTTCTTGCTCAGCTTTGTCCACAACAGAGGCTTCTTTAAATAGATAAGCAATCGATAAGCTTTGTAACTGAAAGCATCCTCTGCCAGAGGATATGAACAAAAGACACTTCCACTGCAGCAGCACCGGGGCTGTTTATGAGGCCATAACCTAACCCCCAGCAAAATCCACTTAATGTCTCTGTGGTTCTTTCCCCCCAGCACCCCAGTCCCGCTCTCCCCAGTGCCTCAGGACCTCAGTTCGGTTGCAGCTCTGCAGCTGGCTCCGAAGGTCAGGCTGCCCTCCGTAACTTGGGAATCTGTTCAATACCCCCCACCACCACCAGTCCTGCCTCCCAGGGAAGGCCATGGTGCTTGCTCTTCTCCAATCTGTTCTAAGTACATAGGATGCCACAGGCACTTCATTGAGGAGGAGGAGAAGCTGAGGGAAGGGGGAAGTGCTTGTTACCACTCCCCAGGCAATGAAGGGGCAACTCAACCATGTCTGAAGTCTCTTCCTGCCTGCCTGCCTTGCTGTTTGAATCCCCCCCCCGACACACACACACTCTCTCTGGAGCATCTCCCAGACACAGGACAGCAGAGCTTGTGCTTCTGGGTTTTGGCTGGTTGGGGTTTGGGGTTGGTGGCAGATGCAGCGAGTAGTTGGTGAACTCCAGGATGCAGTGAGTAGCTGCTGAAATGCAGCAGGAAACACTGAAAGCCTCCCTCTTTCAGCTCCAAATGATGGAACTTGAACGCTCATCGTTGCTTCATGGCAACATTAGTGGCTTGTCCACATTGATGAGTCTTTCACCTTTTAGGGTTTCATTTCCCTCCTGTCTTTCATCACTGCTACCAAATGAGACTGCAGGTTCTCTGGGACAGAGACTGGTCTCTGTGTGGGGCACAGCTGCAGCCACACCTTGGGGTCTCCTGGCACATGGAAGAGGCATATCTCACTCCATGAGCTCGGGTTTGCTCTGGGCATAGTGGAATCACTTGACAATGAGACACTTGTGGACTCTCACTTGGTCAAACACAATCAAGGATCTTTCTTCTCTTTCAGGTATGAGGACGCATTCCAGATCCAAAGCTCTTCCACAGAGTTCAACCAGAAGCCACTGGAGAGGGAGAACGAACGTCTCCAAGCCATGGTGAACTCCCTCAGGTCCCAAGTCAACCAGGAGAAGCAGCGGAAGGAGAGGGTTGAGCGAGAATACACTTCTGTTATTCAGGAGTACTCGGACCTGGAGCAGCGGGTGTGCGAGATGGAGAACTGCAAACTGCGCATCAAGGAGCTGGAAGCAGAGCTCCTGGAGCTACAACAGATGAAACAAGTCAAGAAGTATTTACTCAGCAGAGAAGACAACTTATCTGAGGCCCTCCTTGAGCCGCTGAATAACGCCCCAGAAGCTGACTACATTGACCTCTCTGAGGAGGAGGGAGGAAAAAGCCATGGGCCATCAATGACACCTTCCCCAAACCACCCTGTCCGCAAGAGCTGCAGCGACACTGCCCTCAATGCCATCGTCACCAAGGATGCTGTGAGCCGGCACGAGGGCAACTACACGCTGCATGCTAACAACGTGCGCAAGAGGGGCATGTCCATCCTGAGGGAGGTGGACGAGCAGTACCATGCCTTGCTGGAGAAGTATGAAGAGCTCCTGAGCAAATGCCGGCAGCACAAGGACAGCGTGCGCCACACAGGGGTCCAAACGTCCCGGCCCATCTCCCGTGACAGCTCCTTCCGAGACTTCCGAGGAGAGGGACACGAGTTGGAAGAGCGCAAAAGCATGGAGAAGACCATCAGCAAACACGTGGAGGCCGTGGACAAGCGGCTGGAGCAGAGCCAGCCCGAGTACAAGGCTCTCTTTAAGGAGATCTTCTCCCGCATCCAGAAGACAAAAGCAGACATCAATGCCACAAAGGTGAAAAACAAGAGCAGCAAATGAGTCCCTGCCTCTCCGCAAGTCCCGCGTGCAATCGCAACAGCCACGTCTTCTCTTCAAGCCCCAGGAAACGCCACGTGGCCCCTCTGCTTTGAAGGTTCGAGAGGTCTACAAGCAAGACAACGTCACAGAGACTCAATTCTCTTTATGGAAGCTCTGGACAACTCGTTGGGATAATTGTACATTGTAGTTAGAGGATTCCAGAACCCGTATGACGGATCTCTGCATGAGTGACTGCCGCTGCCAGACATCACAATAGCAAACCACACCGCAAAGAACACGGATCACCTCCTCCACCCTTTGCAGCTTGTCTTACAGCCCAGTTATCTGCAAGCAAAAGCCTGGATGTCCTCCAGCATCCTCCTGCAGCTGGAGTGTTTCAAAGTCAACCAAAAGCCATTGGAACCCCAAGGGCTGCTCCAGCACACCGGCCCACTTTGGTGTGATGGCTAGGAACCTATGCTTGCACCCAAGAGAGCTCTGTCTACGCCTTTCCCTTCCCCAAAGGGCAGTATGTTCTTGCTATTGAAGCCATTTCTCTTACCAGTCAGGTTTTTCAGCTATTTTACAATGCAAGCTTCTTGCAACTGGAAAAACTTGAAGAGAAACAGATGATTGTTCTGTCTTCATCAGTGTCATGTAGTGTTTCAGTCCATACCCTCCAGACTTTGTAGGCACATGGGATTTCCTCGCTTTATATCTGCCCCAGGTGAAGCACTGTGCCTGGTAGGAACTCAATGACCAGGGCTTTCCCATAAGCTAGACAAAAAGTGCTATTACAGTATCAGAGACACACTTCCATCCCATGGTCTGGGTACCAGCCCTCTGTGCTGTGCTCTTCAAGAGGCTGTCATTGCCCCACTGTAGCAAACTCCTTAAGCACAGCTTGCATGGGCTTGCAGAACTGACTACCAGTGACCCGCATGCAAGCAGAACGATACAGCATCTCTCAGTGCCAGGAGCTCTGACCCTGGCAGTAGCACTGACCACACATTACCCCCCACTTTTGCTCTGTACATCTCCCCGTCGAGAGGACAGATTTCAGGGTTTCTGCTGAAAATCACCTTCCTTGGCTGAGATCCTGTCTCCAAAGGTTGTCACCTCTCATGTGCACTTCCCAGCACTGAAACCTCCTCACTTTTGCTTCCACAGACATGCAAACACACAGCCAAAAGGCCACTGCAGTCTCAGGAATCACCAGTTTCCATTGCTCACGGACCTTGTATGGTCAGACACACGTTTTAGGCAGAGAAGCAGCATTTCATTACAGTTTAGTCAACACCCTGAGCACAGAGCTACAAAACACAGTGTAAGCTACCTATTCTGTACCTGCCTGGAGAAGCTTCAGGCAAGATGTAGGTTCTGTTTTCACCAGCTTACATCCCAAAACTTTGGGTGAATGGTTGGGAATTCTGCAACATTGAGATGAATAAATGATAATGCAGCTTTGGAGTGAGAAGACTGTTAAACTGGAATTATCCTCCAAGTCCAGGGCCTTGATGTTATGAGGAGCCACCTTGCTTTCACTCACCATGGAGGTAACGCAAAAATACCCCCCAGAACACACTCTTGTGTTACACTGAGAACCACAGAGGTAAGTTGGCAGGAGTGCAATGCCCAAACCATACCTGCTCCAGAGGTCTCTTCCTCAATCCATCCTCCACCATCCACTCTGCTCTTCCACGCTCTGCATTTTCAGGTGCCCCAAACTCAAGAAGCATCAGGAGCCGCACGCACGACCGTGGCTACCAGCTCTGTAACAGTATGGAGAACCTTCATGCCTTATTTATTTATAATGGAAAGCAGTTGTCTAATAAAAGAAAACAAATAAAACTGAACAAGAGCAGCAGCAGAAGCAGCGTTGGTGATTTTCTCAGAGCATCCATCCATTAAAGTCACTGTTTGTAGTGGCTTGAAGTAGTGGTGGTTTAAGCTGACCCTGCAGTCCTTTGGCTGCTGTAGGATCACCTTAAACAATCCCACATGAATCAGCATCACTGTGTATAGCAGATTAAGCAGATTTTCCAATGCTTTATTCTTTCTTGTATAAAAAGGAACACTGATGTTCTCAAAGCCAGGACTTTCCTTACAGCTCTTTTAAGAGCAGCAGAAGAGTTATTTCTTTGATTTACATGTACAATTTGGGTCATGATAATGCTGGAGGCCTCCCTGCAGAAAGCAGAGTGAATACACCAAACCCTACTGCTGCATTACTTACGTAACATACATTCTATGCACTTGGACCACTAACATTTGCCACATGACAGAAACCCCTCCTTGCCAGCTCTGCAGCCTCTGTAAATCCACACCATCTCAAAGCTGGCAATTGAAATGCTATTTTTGGTTAGGCCTTTCTTGAAAGCCTCAAACCCAAAGCTGACGGATGGGAGTAACGTGGCATTAGAATTGGGCTTCACAAAGGACCAGCTGCTGTGCATGAGCAGTTTGTTCAGCTCAGTGCTGAGGGCATGTTCCTCTGCATCCAAAAATATTAGTGGCCATATATACACATCCTGATGACTCCGTGAGTCACAGTCACTTGATTCTTTCCTTCAGTGAGGCTTTCAGCAATCAAAAGAGGGGAAAATAAGCATTTCCTGGTCTTTTAGCCAAGCTTCCATCTAAACTTTGCATATTGCTTTGAAAACACCAAGGAAACCTACACAACTCCATTAAGAGGTAAGAGGAGAGTATTAAGCAACCACATTGCTGACCACAGAAATAGGTCTAATAGAGCAGCAGCTATTTAACAGCACGGCTCTGTGGTTAAAGACAGAAAGAAAACTACTGCATGCAATTGAAAAGGATGAGGGGAAGTCTGATACAATAGCAAATAATGATTTAATTCCAGCATCTGGCAAAACCAATGAACCCGTGCAGCTCACAGCAATAAGATCAATAAGGGCATGGCTTGCCAAGAATTCAGCTTTATGCTGAACTCAAAAGAAGACATTGAGACAAGTGCATTGATATCACATCTAGTCTGGCTTCTTCTCATACCACCCATCAGAAACCCACCCAGCATCAAAAATAGGGATGGAGCACTTGAAGCACGAGTTCAAGGGATTTACAGAGCTCAAACCCTCATGGGGAAGGAGATTCCTGACTCAGTCTTATCTCTCTTACAGGAGCTTAAACCTTCTGGAAGGTCCCTCAAAGAGCTGATTTCTCCTGCATTAATGGCTCATGCCCTCACTCACACGAGGAGCAACAAGCTCCTTGACATACTGGCTTTGCATCACCTTTCAGGGATGGCTCTTTACAGCTCTTCCACCCTAGTGAACACCATGCCCAAACAGAGAGAGCTCACTTTCTAAGCCAGTTCATTGCCCATCTTAAAACATCAAAAGCTTGGCTCCCCTTGGGTCAAAGTAAGACCTCGTCCCTCCAAGCCCTCCCTGGTGGGGAGAGCCGTTTCCAGCCATCACCCTGCTGTTTACAGGGCTCTTTGGGCATATATATCCACCATCACAGAGTGGGAAGGAAGCAAAACCACAAACACATCCCATTAGATGGGGCTGGGTCCAGCTCTGACCTTCAAGCCCCTTTCCCAGCCCCTTTGCCCACCCCACAACTTGTCCTCGGTGTGTTACCAGCACAGTGACGCCAGTGTGTTTGATATCAGTGGGCAAAATGAGTCATTCTGCTTTGCCTATTTTACCTCTGGCTACAAATCAGTTACCTGTTCCTGACAGAAATTAAGGTCACCAGATGGCATTGCTTGTGTCTGACACTGCTGGGGGGGGGGTGTCTTTAAAGCATTTCAGCAGAGTTTGGATGGGGAAGCAGAGCAGAACCTCAGGATATAGAGATTTGATTAGAACAAAGCATGGAACCCTTTAGATGGGAGCCAGCTCAGCTCCTCAATCACTGTCTTATATCAGCTTTGAAACACTCTTCTTGACTTCACCCACCCTTTTAAACAGAAGACAGTCAGCTCCTGTCACAACACCAGAGCAAATGACAGCCCCATCCCTGCCTGTGCACATTCCTGCTGCCAGAAATAGCAATTCCTGCCCCTCCCAAAAGCCAACCTGACAGCTCCAAAAAGCTGTGGAGGATATCCACAAATGCTTCACTCCCCTGCATCCCCCACTGCAGAATGATTTGGGTTGGAAGGGACCTTAAAGATCATCTAGTTCCAACTTCGGCATCTCTCCTACAGACCTGGAAACACATCACGTATCAGCGTTCAAAGATATAACTATACATATACATGTAGATGTAACTTTTCAGCACTCTTGAGCAGATCAGATCTGAAACCTGAAGCGTCCCAGGTGCAAAGTCCAAGTACATGGAAAACTCCGGATGTGTTTTCAGTGTCACGGCTGCCCATCACTGCTCAGCCTGTGGGAGTGTGGGATGCAGGCAGGAGCACATGGCCCCCACCACTGCCCGCGCCCCAGAGCTGGGAATGACCTGCCCACAGCCCCTGTGTAACCCTTTACACTTTATAACCTATATAACCTCCTACTCTCTTCCACGGTGCCCCACACACCCCATATACTCCCCAGACCTCCAACACCCTCCCATGGATCCCCACAGACCCCATATACCACTCCAGCTGCCCCACAGATCCTATATACCCCCCCCCCAAGACGACCCATAGACTATATACGCTTTATAACCTATATAACCTCCTATACTTTATAACCTGGATAGCATCCTACACCTTTCCAAAGTGCCCCACAGAACCCATATAACCCTCCCAACTCCTGCACCCTCCCACGGTGCTCCAGAGCCCATAGTCCCCCCCGACCTCCCATGTCCCCACATAGTGCCCCACAGATCCCCGACTTCACCTCACAGACCCCATATACCCCTCACACCCCATGCCTCAAAACCCCCTTGGCCCCACACACCCCTCCCAGGCCCCGCCCCGGAACGCTGCGCGCAGCCGCCGTTTCCGTAGGGACGCCGTGGCAGCGCTGCACCGCGGGAGCCAAGATGGCGGCGCACACGCTGAGGGCCCTGTGCCGGCCGTGGCTTGTCGCCGCCCGGTTCTCGCAGCGGGCCGGCGCCGGGACCGAGTACCGGAGCGCGTACAGCCTGGACAAGCTGTACCCGCCGCGGCAGGACGGCGACAGCACCGGCATCACCCCGGTGAGCGGAGCGGGCAACAGGGAGAAGACGAGCGAGGGGCGGGGCTTGGTGCCTGAGGGAGAGGGTGGGCGGGGCTTAGCGCAACTGGTTGTACCGTGAGGGGGCGTGGCTTACCGAAGGGGCGGTGCTTAGAGGGGGCGTGGCCTTCTCGGCCGTGCTTGGCTGGCTGTTCGCGGTCGCCGCGTCCCTGCCTGCGCCTAACGCAGCATTCCATGGTGTTTTCCAGGAGGAGCAGCAGCCACCCACCCTCGACATCCCCATGAGTGAGTCCCCCCCGCCCTGAAACCAGCCCAGGCCGTGGTGCTCGGCCACGTCTGCCCTGGGTTGTGTGCCCGGAGGTGTTAGCCCGGATCGTACCTGTTCCAGCACCAGCAGGAGCTGTGCCTCCGGGTCAGCACGCTGCCGTTCTTCTCTTCCAGGTCGCCTGACTGTGACCTACTGCCGGAGCAGCGGCCCCGGTGGGCAGCACGTTAATAAAGGTGAGGAAGAGCTTCTCCCCCTTTCATGGGAGTTTCTTCCCTGTATTGATGGAAAAACATTGAGAACTTGAAGTTAAATCACAGAATAGGGTTGGGAAGGACCTGAAGATCATCTAGTTCCAACCCCCTGCCATGGTTAAAGAGCATCTTAGTGCTGCCCCATGCTGAGCTTCGTTATCATTACATTTTAACACAACTCCCAAATCTTCACAGTGCTCAAGAGCAGTGGTAATGCATTTGATTCTCCTCCTCTGACTGGGAGCACTGCTGCTACACTTGCCACATGAAGCACCACCTCTGTCTCATCTGTTCTCACTGATCAGACACACAAGCAGCCGGTTGGTTTCTGGGACTTTAAAGCACAATAAATTCTCAGCTTAATTCAAATAAACTATAAATACTGCCATTAAAAATAAGGTGGGTAGTGACTGGCAGCACTTGCTGTAGAAAGGCAAATACCGTAACAGGGTATCCATAAAAATCTAGAGATTGCCTTTTAGAATGGTATGTAAAAATATAGAATCATGGAATAGTCAGGGTTGGAAAGGACCTTAAGATAGCCAGGAAAAAGGTGATCTTTCAGGAAAGTAATGCTGGAATCACCCGGTGTCCAAAGCCAGCAGTGAACAGACTGAGTTATCCCAGAAACCTTAGGAAGTCAAGCCAATACATAGGAAAAATACCCTGGTTTTCCTCCCAGTGAACACCAAGGCAGAAGTTCGGTTCCACTTGGCATCAGCAGACTGGATTCCAGAAGCCGTGAGACAGAAAATGGCATTGATGGTAACAACCCTCCCTTGTAGCCACAGTTTAAATGTCACTTTCAGATGTGACATGGCAAGGTGGCAGTGACCACATCCCGTTTTCATCTCTGCAGTACAGGAACAGGGTAAACCGAGCTGGTGAGCTGATCGTGAGCTCTGAAGAGAGTCGCTACCAGATGAAGAACCTGGCCATTTGCTTAGAAAAGATCCAAACCATGGTCACAGAGGCTACGGAGCAGCCCAAGGTGGTGTCTAAGGAGACAACACAGAAACTCATAGAGAGGTATAGTCATTGAAATGGCCTTTTATTGGAGATGAACTCAGATCATTGTGCGGCATGATGCAGGTTGCTGTTTGTACAATCTTCATGCTTATTTGGATTTCCTTTGCTAAGAAATTCACTGATCCATTAGATTTTAAGCACTTCCCTGGGTAGCATCCCAAGAAGAGGGGCTGGTTTTTCTATCTGTGGACATTTGTCATCAAGTCTGTGCTGTGATATATATATTATATATAACTGTGCTCAGAGTTGAATGTTTAAATGTTTTCTTGGTACCCTAAAGGAGCTTTTAACCTTGTTTTAGGGTGGAAAAAATGAACCGTGAACGACTACGACAGAAAAAGATACACTCAAACATAAAGCAGAGCAGGAAGGCAGACTTTGACTGAGAGAACAGGGCTCCCAGCCCTCGGCATACCAGCTTCATAAAGAAACAGCGTTGGCAGCTGTAGATGGTTCTGAACTCATGAGCTGTGTTGAATAAAACTGGTCTGAAAATGTACATAAAGATATAGAACATCTCCTTTTGAATTGGAAAATTATTGTTCTTGTTTGAAATGAAAAACTCAGGGTTTTGATTTATATATATATTTATATTATATATATTCTTCATATATTAATTCTTAATATTCTTTATATATTAATATATATATTAATTCAGCTCTCTGCTCTATGAGAGCACCCTCTGCTGCTGAGCACAAAAGCAGCAGTGGATGTGGAGGGGAAAGAAAGGCAAGAGTAAAAGCGTAACTACGTGTCCAAGTACAATTCACCATTTCAAGCATTTTCCATTCATTTCAGTTGATCTTTCCCTAACCATAAGGTGCACCTCATTGTGTTAACCTGACCTAAAGCCACAGCAGGAATCTGGCAGGAGGTGGGTGCTCAAAGACCAAACCACCCTGTAGGTCCAGGAGGATGCTGGTCCTTGGGGTGCGACACCAAAGCACCTCAATGAGTCTCTCAGGCTTCAGGAGTCACTCATTAGAGGGTCCTGTGGGTAACATGGGGTTTGCTGCTGGGGCACTTCATGAGGGTGTCCTCAAAAACACCAAAATCACTCATTTTTCATCCTCTGTCAGGGCCCCAGTGGCCTAATGGATAAGGCACTGGCCTTCTAAGTCAGGGATTGTGGGTTCAAGTCCCACCTGGGGTGAGCAGAAGTGGCTCTGTTTTAGGTAAAAACCCAAACAAGAAAGGAAAGTGCTCTCTGCTGGTCCCTAGACACTCTTTGGCATTCCCTTTGGAATGGGGGCAGTTCTGAGCTCTGCCCTTACCCAGCCCAGATTGACATTTACATCTGCAAAAAAAGCAGAGCTCAAAGCCCCCACAGGCTGCCCGGGGGATGCAGGAGCACATCAAGAGCATCCTGATGCGCCCCCGCACACCAAGGCCAGCAAAGATGAAGCCTGCTCCTGCTTAAAGCTTTTCACTATGGCTGCCGGCTTCCCCCCTCACAGCAAAGGCGGCTCCAGCTCTGAGCTGTGCCCTGGGCTTTGCAAATGAGTGGGGTTCTGCTGCTTCAGATGCTTTTCTGACACAGAATCATCACACGAACATCAGCCGGGACAGCAACAACCTCAGCTGAGGCTAAAAGTATGTTGTAAAGCTGGGTTTGTACATCAACATCTCTCCTGGGTGAAGACGCCCGAGCCAAGGGTTAGGAAAACCCGGCGGGGTGATGCTCATTCTCCTGTCGCTGCAGCACAGACACCTCCACACACCGAATCACCCCAAAACCGGCTCAGATCCGCGGAAGGGAAAAGAGTCACCCCAGATGGGACTCGAACCCACAATCCCTGGCTTAGGAGGCCAGTGCCTTATCCATTAGGCCACTGGGGCTGTGCACAGGCGTCTTTTTTTCAGTGCCGTGACTTAACTCTCTGCTGGCCAGAGGGGACGCGGGGTCCCGCACAGCCCCGGGGGCTCCCTCAGCACCAGGCAGCGCGGCCCCATCTCTGCCCACAGCGCAGGAAGGAGGCGGTGTTGGGGGGCCGGAGACCCCCGCCGAGGGCCCAGCTCCGCCCGCCGGGCCTCAGCCCTCAAGCCCGCACCGGCGGGGCGGGAGGAGCCGGTGCCCACCGCCGGTTCCCGGTGCGCGGAGCTTTCCCCGCTCCGGCGGCCCCGTTCGCTGCGGACCCCCCCGCCCCGTGCGGAGGTGGAGGGCAAAGATTGGCTTTTGCGCGGCCCCAGTGGCCTAATGGATAAGGCACTGGCCTCCTAAGCCAGGGACTGTGGGTTCGAGTCCCACCTGGGGTGAGGCGGCTTTTTTCTCCACCTCCCTGCATCGGAACCCCAAGGGAAAGCATGGGCGGAAGGAGACACCGACCCCTGTAACTCACCAGGCGCTCCCTGCAGCAATAAAAGCCGCATCCTGGCCGACCCTGCCCCTTTATTCCATCCCCGGTAACCGGCAGCAGCTGCGGCTCAGCCCTCACCTTGTATCGGGCTCCGGTTCGTCCCCACCGCCGGCACAGGGCGCTCTGAACCGCTGTGGGGGTAATAAGCACGAACGGCCCTAGGCGGGAGATCCCCCGGGCAAATCGCCCCCAAAGGTGCCCCAGCACGGGCACCTAACCCACTGACACCCCAGGCGGGGCCGAACGCTGCACCCCCCAGAGAAATTAAACGGTTCGAAGCTCTCCCGTGGCTTTAAAACAACCACGAAGGGACTCGAACCCTCAATCTTCTGATCCGAAGTCAGACGCCTTATCCATTAGGCCACGTGGTCCCCCATAGCTTTGTTCTGGGGACAGTGGCAGACACCGGGGGTACCAGGGAGTCCCTGCCACCCCCTGTGCATCCTCCCCATTCCCATCCCGTCTGGGATCATGGCTTTTCCTCATGCCCAACACTGGGGGGGGGTCCCTCCTGCCATGGGACCCCGTGTGCTAGTTGGTCATCATAGACCCCCATTGCCACCCCCAGTTTACCCTGTATGTGCTGATGTCTGTCTGGAGCAATGACGTTCCCCTCCTGCTACCAACCCAAGCCGTTCTGAACGCAAATATAACCCCAAATGCAGAGCTGACACCACCCAGGAGACACCCCCAACACAGAGCAGCTGGGGTCACCCTCCAGCTCCCAGGGGCACACAAGTCCAGGCTTTCCCTGCCACATCCCCATGGAAAGGCAAAGCCAACACCATCACATCCAGCTGAGGCTCTGTGTGAGCCTTAAGTGGGAGGGAAGCAGTGTGTAGGCATTACTGTGAAAGAAAGAAAGATGGGGAGAGCCAGGACCCTGGAGACAACTTGTTCTTGACAGTAACAGCATTCAGTGTGATGGGCACAGTCAGTGAGATACAAGGGAGGGCATTTAACCCCTGTTCGTTATCAGTAACACCTCCTGGTGCAGCTTGGCTTCTCCCCAGACCCTGCATTCCTCATCTAATCCTAAATAAACCTGCCACAGGGCAGGAAGGTGTTTTAACTTCTTCTATATCCATGGGGGTTTTGGGGACACGTTGGCTCCTGGGGTCCCTTCAGCTCAGCTTCAACCAGCGCAGCTTTTCTGCTGTGCCTCAAACTAAAGCTGAGCAGAAGCAGGCCAGAGAGCAAAGCCTGCGGGAGATTAGCACTTGCCATGTGCCTGGGCCTTCAGCAGGTTTGCTGCTCTCCAAGTCATTTTCTCCCACACCTAAGAGGGAAAAACTACTTAGAAAGAAACTTTAGGCTTTACTGGTGTGGTCTCACCCTGACCGCAGCTGCCTTTTATAATCCATTAACTCTGGAGGAAAAGACCCTCCAAGTAGCTTTTTAATGCAACAAACCCCAAATACACTTATGTGGAGGGCTCTGGTCCCTGGGCAGCAAAGCCGAACTGTGTGACCCCAGTGACCTGCCCCTCACTGAGATGCAGTTTCTGGCGGAGGGAAGCATCCTTCCCATCAGAGCTTGTCCTGCTCCGGGAAGAGGTTGGTGTGATACCGGCAAGGTTCTCATCCCCCAGCATCCATTGGCTTTCTGTTGGGGGTCAGATGCAGCTGATGGCACAGGGAGCATCCAGAGGAGGTAAAAATGCAGCTGAAGTTCCCTGCAGAGCCCTGAGCCAGACAGGGCTAATTAAACAGTGTTAACTGCTCTGCTTCTGCACCTTCTGGGCCACCTGGAAAGAACCCCCAGCCAGAACCATCCTTTCATTAACACCTCTCCAGATATCATCCTTTCATCAGCAGGTCCCAAGCATCCACCTTTGCACTGAGGCCCCGGGGCAGGTTATAGCTGCTCCTTGTTGCTTCCCTTCTTCATCGAATCGTAGAATCCAGACCGGTTTGGGTTGGAAGGGACCTCATCCAGTTTCAACCCCTGCCACTGGGGACACCTTCCACTAGAGCAGCTTGCTCCAAGCCCTGTCGCTTTCATGAGCTCTAAGCTGTGACCACTGGCCAGGAGCAGGTAACGGCATCATCCCAACACCATCGTGTACAGCTCCTGTACAGCAGCCTTTGTATTGCAGTCGTCGGCACAGAGAGCAAGCCTGGAGCTGCCGTGGGGAACTCACTGCCCCAAAACACGTATTGTGCACCAAGCACCCAAAGCCAGCTTCCGCCGGGCAGCAGCAGCAGCAGGAGGAGGAGGATGCCCGGCAGCTCTGCGTGGGCCTGGCGGCACTAAACCGGGGAGAAAACGGACAGAAACGGGGCTGGCACCAGCAAAACGTTGCGTGCTCACCCCAGATGGGACTCGAACCCACAATCCCTGGCTTAGGAGGCCAGTGCCTTATCCATTAGGCCACTGGGGCTGCGCACGGCGCGCGCCCCGGCCCGCGGGAACGGCCCGGCCCCGGCGCTGCGGGGGCTCGGGGAGCCCGCAGGGGAAGCGGGGGGGAATCACCCGGGGGTCCCGGGGAACGGGGCCGGGATGCACCGGCAGCGGTAGGGCCGGGCGGGGGAACACGGGGCCAAAGCAGGTTCGGTTCTTCCCCCCACCCCGCCGGGGGAAGAGGCGAGAAGGGAGAAGCGGGAAAAGCTGGGAATGGGGAAGGGAAAAAAGGGTCGACCACGAAGGGACTCGAACCCTCAATCTTCTGATCCGAAGTCAGACGCCTTATCCATTAGGCCACGCGGTCACTGGTAGCGAAGCCCCCCAGCGACGCTGCCTACCCCCAGCCCGCTCTCCCCGCCGGTCCCACCGGGTCCCCCGGGATACCGGCACGGAGCATCCCGGGACACGGCCGGGGAGGATCCGTTGTCTGCCGGGCAGGAGGAAAGCAAGGGTGGGATTCGCCGGCTGCGATCGCTGCGCTGGAGCCTGGGACGGTCCGGCAGGCAGGGCCGGGATGCTTTGCTGGGGAGAGGCAGAAGCGGGGTGATGCGGGGCATAGGCTCTCACTGAGCATCCAGGTCATCCCATCACCTCACCCAGCTTCGCAAGAGCCATAGAGTCCGGCCTCCCTCCCTGCTCTGCCCCCCATATGAGATGCTGCAGGAGGGATGCCGTGCAGAGCATGAAGATCCTTGCTGCAGCAGGACCCGGTGGGTACCAACGGTTTGCAGAGCAACAGGGC